TTTTTTAAGCAAGGAATCATCAGGTGTGGTTTTCCTAGTTCCTTCCTCTCAAATAAAGCTTACTGTGCTGAGCATTCCTTCGCGGTCTCCCATCCAAGTCCTAGCCAGGGCTGACCCTGCTTAGCATCACAGCTCACACAAGGTCCAGGTCCCATTGGAGTTTTTACAGTTTTCTTAGACAAGGAGTACTCAAAACTGATTCTGTGGCGGTCTCCCGTCCAAGTCCTAGCCGGGGACGACCCTGCTTAGCATCACAGCTCACACAAGGTCCAGGTGCCATTGGAGGTTTTACAGTTTTCTTAAGCAAGGAGTACTCAAAACTGATTCTATGGCGGTCTCCCGTCCAAGTCCTAGCCGGGGACAACCCTGCTAAGCATCACAGCTCACACAAGGTCCAGATGCCATTGGAGGTTTTACAGTTTTCTTAAGCAAACATGATTCTGTGGCGGTCTCCCATCCAAATTCTAGCCAGGGCTGACCCTGCTTAGCATCGAAGGGCTGAGCATTCCTTGGTGATCTCCCATCCAAGTCCCAAGCTGACCCTGCTTAGCATCAAAGCTCACTCAAGGTCCAGGTGCAAATGGGGTTTTTAGTCTCCTTTGGCAAGGAATACTCAAAACTGATTTTTTGGTGGTCTCCCATCCAAGTCCTAGCCAGGGCTGACCCTGCTTAGCATCAAAGCTCACACAAGGTTCAGGTGCAATTGGGGTTTTTACCGTTTTCTGAGGCAAGGAGTACTCAAAACTGATTTTGTGGTGGTCTCCCATTCAAGTCCTAGCCGGGGCCGACCCGGCTTAGCATCACAGCTCACACAAGGTCCAGGTGCCATTGGAGTTTTTACAGTTTTCTTAGGCAAGAAGTACTCAAAACTGATTCTGTGTTGGTCTCCCATCCAAGTCCTAACCAGGGCTGACCCTGCTTAGCATCCAAGACGAGGCTGGATCTAGTGCTTTTAGGTATTTAAGGCTTCTCTTTTCCAGCTTAATTGAACCCCAGATCCTCAACTTCTCAATAGATCAACCAAATTGGGTCCTTTGTAACATTCACCCAATAGTGGATGCATCTACACTATAAAGTTAGCACAGTTTGGCACTCCTTTATCTGCCATGACTCAGTGCTATGTATTCATGGGAGTTATAGATTCCCACCACCTTGAGCCTCCTCTGCCAAAGAGGGTTGGTCACTCAGTCACTGAGCTACAAATACCACCTTATTTTGACCCCACTCCGTGCTGTGGAATGCAGGGAGTTGTAGTTTGCTGGGGGGTCAAGGTCTTGGCGAGCTACAGATCCCAGGATTCCATAGCATGAGCCAAAGCAGTCGAAATAGAGTCATACTGCATTGATTCAACAGTTTATGTAGACTACTTCAACCTAGGCGAACTACAACTCCCAGGGTGCCACAGCATTTCAGAAAGATGTGCTGTACAACATGATTCAGTGCTACGTATTCATGGGAGTTATAGATTTCCACCACCTTGAGCCTCCTCTGGCAAAGAGGGCTGGTCACTCAGTCCCTGAGCTGCAAATACCACCATATTTTGACCCCACTCCATGTTGTGGAATGCAGGGAGTTGTAGTTTGCTGGGGGCTCAAGGCCTTGGCAAGCTACAGATCCCAGGATTCCATAGCACTGAGCCAAAGCAGTCTGAATGGAGTCATTCTTCATCAATTCAACAGTTTGTGTAGACTACTTCAACCTAGGCGAACTACAACTCCCTGGGTGCCATAGCATTTCAGAAAGATGTGCTGCACATKGGCSAACATGACTCAGTGCTACRTATTCATGGGAGTTATAGATTTCCAMCACCTTGAGCCTCCTCTGSCAARRAGRGCTGRKCASTMAGTCACTGAGCTWCAAATACCACCTTATTTTGACCCCACTCCATGYTGTGGRATGCAGRGARTTGTAGTTTGCTGAGGGCTCAAGRYCTTGGCAAGCTACRGATCCCAGGATTCCATAGCACTGARCCAARGCAGYCMAARTRGAGTCAWACTGCATYSATTCAACAGTKTGTGTAGACTACTTCAACCTAKGSRAACTACAACTCCCWGGGTGCCATAGCATTTCAGAAAGATGTGCTGCACATGGGCCAACATGACTCAGTGCTACGTATTCATGGGAGTTATAGATTTCCACCACCTTGAGCCTCCTCTGCCAGAGAGGGCTGGTCACTAAGTCACTGAGCTTCAAATACCACCTTATTTTGACCCCACTCCATGTTGTGGAATGCAGGGAGTTGTAGTTTGCTGAGAGCTCAAGGCTTTGGCGCGCTACAGATCCCAGGACTCTATAGCACTGAGCCAAGGCAGTCCAAATGGAGTCATACTGCATCGATTCAACAGTTTGTGTAGACTACTTCAACCTTGGTGAACTACAACTCCCAGGGTGCCATAGCATTCCAGAAAGGTGTGCCCACCCTTTCCCCCCATTGGGGCCCCATAAGACTCCGCAGCCCTGTCTCTTTGGCCCCAGACGTGATCCTTTGGTGGTGTTGCAACCCTGAGCAAACACGGCCTTTCACCCCTGGGATGATGACCGGTCCACTTTGCTGAGAAAGCAGAGGGTTTCCCAGCGGTCAGCAGCCTCCACTTGCCTTTTGACTGGAAAGGACAGCCAACTTTCAGTCTGGATCTACACTGCCCTGTAATCCAGTTTCAGAATGTGGATTGACTGCACTGATCTGGATTTCAGGGCCGTGTAGACTGATCTGGTCCAGTTCAAGGCAGATAACAATCCACATTTGAAACAGGGTTATAGGACAGTGTCCATCCAGCCTCATGTTGGATCTACACTGCCCTATAATCCAGTTTCTGAATCCAGATTATCTGCTTGCAGTTTGTCAGGGCCTCTAAGAAGATAATCCAGTTCAAGGCAGATAATCTGGATCCAGAAACTGGATCATATGGCAGTATAGACGGGACCCCATATGATCCAGTTCAATGCAGATGCGTCATATGGAGATGGAGATGGGGCCTCATATAATCCAGTTCAAAGCAGATTATGTGGCAGTGGAGATGGGGCCTTGTTTAATCCAGTTCAAGCAGATAATAATAATAACCTTTATTTATTTAGTTCAGTGATTATATAATCAGGATTATATAATCAGGATTCAGAAATGGGATCATATGGCAGTGTAAACAAGGCTCCATTTCATCCTGTTCAAAGATGATAATCTGGATTCAGAAACTCTATTATACGACAGTGTAGATGGGGCCTCATTTAATCCAGTTCAAACCAGATAATCTGGATCCAGTAATGGATCATATGGCAGTGTAGACATGGCCTCATATAACCCAGTTCAATGCAGATAATCTGGATCCAGAAACTGGATTATATGGCAGTATAGACGGGATCCCATTTAATCCAGTTCAAAGCAGATAATCTGGATCCAGAAACTGAATTATATGGCATTGTTGACAGGGACCTATATAATCCAGTTCAAGGCAGATAATCAGGATCCAGAAACTGGATAATATGGCAGTGTAGACAGGTTCTCGTTTAATCCAGTTCAAAGCAGATAATCTGGATACAGAAACTGGATCTTGTTGAAGTGGAGATGAGGCCTTATTTAATCCAGTTCAAAGCAGATGATCAGGATCCAGAAATGGATCATACGGCAGTATCGATTGAGCCTTATATAATCCAGTTTGAAGAAGATAATCTGGATACAGAAACTGGATCATATGACAGTATAGACGGGACCCCATTTAATCCAGTTCAAAGCAGATAATCAGGATCCAGAAATGGATCATACGGCGGTATAGATTGAGCTTTATATAATCCAGTTTGAAGAAGATAATCTGGATACAGAAACTGGATCATACGGCAGTATAGACGGGACCCCATATGATCCAGTTCAATGCAGGTGCATCATATGGAGGTGGAGATGGGGCCTCATTTAATCCAGTTCAAAGCAGATAATCTGGATCCAGAAACTGGATCATATGGCAGTGTTGACGGGACCTCATTTAGTCCAGTTCAATGCAGATAACTTGGATCCAGAAACTGGATAATATGGAAGTGGAGATGGGTATGAATTGGTATTTAATTGGTATTAATTTGCTTTCAATGGCTGTATTCCAGGCTTGGGCAAACTTGGGCCCTCCAGGTGTTTTGGACTTCAACTCCCACAATTCCTAACAGCCGGTAGGAACAGTCTTGGACAGCAGTGGCTCCCAAAGTGACCCATTTAAAGTGGAATCCGGTGTTAAACAGGGATGTGTTATTGCCCCAACTCTATTCTCCATCTTCATCGCTATGTTGATGGGAAGCTTCCCACCGGAGTGGAAATAATCTATCGGACAAACGCCGTGTGTACCCCCCCCCGAAAACCTTACCAATATTGTACATGCCACATACCTCAAATGTGAGCTTATGTTCTAGAAAGCCATTCTCTCCTGATCGTCTTTCACCCACTATCTATGAGCATCGCATCAGAGGTTGTGAGGCTCTGTTAGAAACTTAGCATTAAGGTAAAGGTAGTCCCCTGACATTAAGTCCAGTCATGTCTGACTCTGGGGTGTGGTGCTCATCTCCATTTCTAAGCCGAAGAACCAGCGTTGTCCGTAGACACCTCCAAGGTCATGTGGCCGGCATGACTGCATGACTGAAACTAGGTAAGTGAGGTTTCTATATCTGTGGAGTGTCTAGGGTGAGAGAAAGAACTCTTGCATTCTGTATTAGGAGCAAGCTTTGGACTTGATGCGTGCACGTCTCTGCAAATAAACATGGTGCACCTGCCAAAGGGAACAGGGAGCTCCACAACCGGCCAGAACAAGGCAACCCTCCCTTTGGAGAGCGCTGGACCACTTTTTGGGTGCCGTCTCTTTGAAGATGATGTTCCAAAGCATCGGTCCAGGCGCACAAGGGTCCGGAAAGCAGACCCCAGGGGCCCCGAACCCATAGGTTTTTCTCCCCGGTGGAAGCCAGCCTTTGCCCAAGGCCCTTGACCCTTGGAGAGTTTATGTCAACAGCAGACACCAAAATGACCGCCCGGCTGTGTTTGCCCGCAGTCCCCTTTCCGCCCGGACTCTGCGGCCACCGAAAGCCATGCTCCCCAAAGCAGCTTGGCTGCTCTCCTTGGCCGTGTTGGGGCTGCCCTTGTCGGCGGAGGAGCCGCTCCCCAAAATCGAAGGGACCTATGGGGCCAAGGTGAGTCTGGAACAACAGAGAGGGATCTACCTGGATGCACCGACATATGTAATCCAGATTATCCGCCTTGAATTGGACTATATGGCAGTGTAGACCATGCCTGGGAAAGCTTGGGCCCTCCCTCCGGGTGTTTTGGACTTCAGCTCCCACAATTCCTAACCCAAAATAAATGGGTTAGACTGGATGATCTTTAGGGGCCTCCTCTAGGATGTCATAGGATGCAGCCACAATTGCAAAAGTGGGGCAGAAGGGTTACAATACGTGTAGTGCAAAATCGTACCATTTGACTGCCATGGCTCAATGCTATGGAAACATGGGAGTTGTAGTTTTACAAAGGTCTTCCCCTTTATTGACGAAGGCTTTCATGGCAGGAATTGCTGGGTTGTCGTGAGTTTTCCGGGCTGTCTGGCCATGTTCCAAAAGCATTCTCTCCTGACATTTCACCCCATCTGTGGCAGGCATAATTTCCAGGGAGGTAGAAAGAACTCTTGTCTGTTGGAAGTAGGTGTGAACCTTTCAATTGGCCACCTTGATTAGCATTTAATGGCCTAGCAGTTTCAAGATCTGGCTTCTTACTTCTTGGGGGAATCCTTTGTTGGGAGGAACAATCAGGGCTAGAGACAATCAGGGCCAGTTAACCACCTCCTAACAAAGTATTTCTCCCAGGCAGGAAGCAGCCAGGCTTTGAAGACGCAAGGCCATTCAATGCTAATTGAGTTGGTTAATTGCAACATTCACACTTGCCTCAAACAGACAAGAGTTTGTTCTCCCACCCTGGACATTACCGCCAACAGGCAGTAAACAGCCAGACCTTGAAGCTGCAAGGCCATTTGATTCTAAGTTTGAATAATAAAATAAGAAATAACCGAGTGGGCCAATTGCAACCTTCACACTTGCCTCAGGCAGACAAGAGTTCGTTCTGCCACCCTGGACATTATTCCTCAGGCGTATAAACAGGCAGTAAGCAGCCAGACCTTGAAGCTGCAAGGCCATTCAATGCTAATCAAGTTGGCCGATTGCAACCTTCACAATTGACACAAGCAGGCAAGAGTTTTTTCTCCCACCCTGCACATTATTCCTCAGGCGTATAAACAGGCAGTAAGCAGCCAGACCTTGAAGCTGCAAGGCCATTCAATGCTGGGCATTTGCAACGTTCCCATTTGCCTCAAGCAGACAAGAGTTCGTTCTCCCACCCTGGACGTTATTCCTCAGGCGTATAAACAGGCAGTAAGCAGCCAGACCTTGAAGCTGCAAGGCCATTCAATGCTAATCGAGTTGGCTAATTGCAGCGTCCACACTTGCCTCAAGCAGACAAGAGTTCGTTCTCCCACCCTGGACATTATTCCTCAGGTGTATAAATAGGCAGTAAGCAGCCAGACCTTGAAGCTGCAAGGCCATTCAATGCTAATCGAGTTGGCCAATTGCAGCGTCCACACTTGCCTCAAGCAGACAAGAGTTCATTCTCCCACCCTGGACATTATTCCTCAGGTGTATAAATAGGCAGTAAGCAGCCAGACCTTGAAGCTGCAAGGCCATTCAATGCTAATCGAGTTGGCCAATTGCAGCGTCCACACTTGCCTCAAGCAGACAAGAGTTCGTTCTCCCACCCTGGACGTTATTCCTCAGGCGTATAAACAGGCAGTAAGCAGCCAGACCTTGAAGCTGCAAGGCCATTCAATGCTAATCGAGTTGGCTAATTGCAGCGTCCACACTTGCCTCAAGCAGACAAGAGTTCGTTCTCCCACCCTGGACATTATTCCTCAGGTGTATAAATAGGCAGTAAGCAGCCAGACCTTGAAGCTGCAAGGCCATTCAATGCTAATCGAGTTGGCCAATTGCAGCGTCCACACTTGCCTCAAGCAGACAAGAGTTCATTCTCCCACCCTGGACATTATTCCTCAGGTGTATAAATAGGCAGTAAGCAGCCAGACCTTGAAGCTGCAAGGCCATTCAATGCTAATCGAGTTGGCCAATTGCAGCGTCCACACTTGCCTCAAGCAGACAAGAGTTCTTTCTCCCACCCTGGAAGTTATTCCTCAGGCGTATAAATAGGCAGTAAGCAGCCAGACCTTGAAGCTGCAAGGCCATTCAATGCTAATCAAGTTGGCCAATTGCAACATTCACACTTCCTTTCTAGGCCCTTTGAGGCTGAGAGAGTGTGACTTGCCTAAAGTCACCCAACAGATTTCCATAGGAAAGAGATGTTCCCAAGATATTGATACTATCTTTGTGATTGATCAATATACACAAATCTTGCTATTGAGAATAAATGGTAGGCAATGCTATATAAGGATTTCAGCGACATTAATATTCATAGGAGGTCGAGGACAAGGAAGACAAGCTGGATTGCAAAGCACACAACGCTGCATCGAAATGAGGCCTGCTATTAATTAATGAACTAATCAATTAGGAAAAAAAAGTTTAAGTGATGTGAAAATAAGTTTCATGGAGCAGCACTGCCACCAGGTGGCTATCAGCAGTAATGCACCCTGTTGGTTTTCTTCCAAGCAGCAGCAGCACCACCTACTGGTGCATTCGTGCATTGCAAGCTCTCTATTCTTAATCTGGAGGTTGTTGCTGCCATCTAGTGGCCAAGTCAATTCATGACCATTCTTGCTTTTCCCAGTATGGCCAATGTTTCCAGTCTCTTCCTGGTGAAACTGGGGCTTTGAACCTTGGACAGAGATGGGGAGACCCTTCGCCGACAGCCACGTTGTATGTTGATCTGCGCACTGTAACAAGGTAAACAAACAATTGCACACTATTGGAGGAAGTTGAGAGTCAACAAATAATTGAACTCTATTGGAAGGAGTTGTGAGTAAACAAACAATTGCACACTATTGGAGGAAGTTGAGAGTCAACAAATAATTGAACTCTATTGGAAGGAGTTGTGAGTAAACAAACAATTGCACACTATTGGAGGAAGTTGAGAGTCAACAAATAATTGAACTCTATTGGAAGGAGTTGTGAGTAAACAAACAATTGCACACTATTGGAGGAAGTTGAGAGTCAACAAATAATTGAACTCTATTGGAAGGAGTTGTGAGTAAACAAACAATTGCACACTATTGGAGGAAGTTGAGAGTCAACAAATAATTGAACTCTATTGGAAGGAGTTGTGAGTAAACAAACAATTGCACACTATTGGAGGAAGTTGAGAGTCAACAAATAATTGAACTCTATTGGAAGGAGTTGTGAGTAAACAAACAATTGCACAAAATTGGGGGAAGTTGAGAATTAACAAATAATTGAACTCTATTGGAGGAAGTTGTGAGTAAACAAACAATTGCACATTATTGGTGGAAGTTGAGAGTCAACAAATAATTGCACACTATTGGTTGAACTTGAGAGTCAACACACTGAGTGGATAGTGTTAGACTACAACTCCCATCATCCTTAGATGACATATCCCATGATGAAGAGAACTAGGAGTTGGAGGAAGTTGTGAGTAAACAAACAATTGCACACTTTTGGAGGAAGTTGAGAGTCAACAAACAATTGCACATTATTGGTGGAAGTTGAGAGTCAACAAATAATTGCACACTATTGGTTGAACTTGAGAGTCAACACACTTGAGTGGATAGTGTTAGACTACAACTCCCATCATCCTTAGATGACATATCCCATGATGAAGGGAACTAGGAATTGGAGGAAGTTGTGAGTAAACAAACAATTGCACACTATTGGTGGAAGTTGAGAGTCAACAAATAATTGCACACTATTGGTTGAACTTGAGAGTCAACACACTTGAGTGGATAGTGTTAGACTACAACTCCCATCATCCTTAGATGACATATCCCATGATGAAGAGAACTAGGAATTGGAGGAAGTTGTGAGTAAACAAACAATTGCACAATATTGGGGGATTGTGTCTTCCTTCACACTATTGGTGGAAGTTGAGAGTCAACACAGCTGAGTGGATAGTGTTAGACTACAACTCCCATCATCCTTAGATGACATATCCCATGATGAAGAGTACTTGGAGTTGGCCTGCTGGGTCTATGGTCCTATGCACTTTTCAAGGGTGGAAATTCAATAGATATTATGGTGTTGGGTACTGTAGGATGATGATGCCCAGCATAAAGGAATGCTGGGAGTTGTAGTCCAAATCCCACAATTGATTAAAGCACTGGGTCAGGTATTTTCCTGGGCTGTTTGAGACCCAAAATGTCATGCTAGGCCAGCTTTCAGGCCAATATTTCCCCATATTCTGAAATATGGTTGCCGTGGCTCAGTGCCATGGCATCTGGGATTTGTAGTTTGGGGAGGCCCCAGCCCTCTTGGCCTTCATTCTCTCTTTCCTCTCCCCAGCGCTGCATCCTCCTTCGACTTCCGCACCTTCGACCCAGAAGGCGTCATCTTCTATGGGGACACCAACCCCGGCAAGGACTGGTTCGTCTTGGCTTTGCGGAAAGGGAAGCCCGAGATGCAGATCCACAACACCGTCACCAACTTGACCGTTTCAGGGGGGATGCGTCTCAATGACGGACGTTGGCACCGGGTACGGCTGGATGGACATCTGTCGGGAGGGCTTGGGTAGTGCCTTCCTACCTGGAAGAGGAGGATTGGACTAGATGGCCTTTAGGTGCCCCTTCCAACTCTATTTCTAGGGAAATACTTAAATACAAGCTGGATGGCCATCTGTTGGGAGGACTTGGGTGGTGTCTTCCTTCCTGGCAGAAAGGGGGTGAGCTAGATGGCCTTTAGGTGCCTTTTCCAACTCTAGCTTTCTATGCTAATAATAATAATAATAATAATAATAATAATAATAATAATAATTGGTGGATGGCCATCTGTTGGGAGGGCTTGGATGATGTCTGCATGGCAGAAAGGGGTTGGACTAGATGGCCTTTAGGTGCCCCTTCCAACTCTAGCCTTCTATGCTAATAATAATAATAATAATAATAATAATAATATTGTCAAGCCTTTCATGGCCGGAATCACTGGGTTGTTGTAGGTTTTTTTCGGGCTATATGGCCATGGTCTAGAGGCATTCTCTCCTGACGTTTCGCCTGCATCTATGGCAAGCATCCTCAGAGGTAGTGAGGTCTGTTGGGACTAGGCAAAAAGGCTTATATATCTGTGGAATGACCAGTGTGAGAGAAAGGACTCTTGCCTGCTGGAGCTAGGTGTGAATGTTTCAAATGACCACTTTGATTAGCATACAATGGCCTGACTGTGCCTGGGGCAAACCTTTGTTGAGAGGTAATTAGATATCCCTGCCTGCTTCCTCTCTGTTGCCTAATTCCTACAGACCTCACTACCTCTGAGGATGCTTGCCATAGATGCAGGCGAAATGACAGGAGAGAATGCCTCTAGACCATGGCCATATAGCCCGAAAAAACCTACAACAATCCAATAATAATAATAATAATAATAATAATAATAGGTGGATGGCCATCTGTTGGGAGGGCTTGGATGGTGTCTGCATGGCGGAAAGGGGTTGGACTAGATGGCCTTTAGGTGCCCCTTCCAACTCTAGGATTTTATGGTTCTATTACTAATAATAATAATCAAAGGCTGGGTGGCCATCTGTTTGGAGAGCTTGGATGGTGTCTTCCTGTTTGGCATAAGGGGTGTGTGTAGACTGGATGGCCTTTAGGTGCCCCTTCCAACTCTAGCTTTCTATGGAAGGATTGTGTCTTCCTTCATGGAAGGATGGGGGTGGTCTGGATGGCTCTAGGGGTCTCTTCCAACTCTACGATTCTATGGAAGTATTTAAACACTAGTTGGATGGCCATCTGTCTAGAGGGCTTGTGTAGTGTCTTCTTGTCTGGCAGAAAGGGGGTGGACTAGATGGCCTTTAGGTGCCCCTTCCAACTCTACAATTATATGGAGGGATTGTGTCTTCCTTCCTAGAAGAACGGGAGTAGATGGGATGGCTCTTGGGGCTTTTTCCAACTCTACAATTCTATAGAAGTATTTGAACACAGGCTAGATGGCCATCTGTCGGGAGGGCTTGAATGGTGTCTTCGTTCCTGGCAGAAAGGGGGTGGACTAGATGGCCTTTAGGTGCCCCTTCCAATCACTCTATGGAGGGATTCCTGGAAGAACAGGGGTGTACTGGATGGCTCTTGGGATCTACAATTATATGAAAGTATTTGATCACAGGCTGGATGACCATCTGTTGGGAGGGCTTGTAAGGTATATCCCTGCATGGCAGAAAGGGGGGACGGGACTAGATGATCTTTAAGTGCCCTTTCCAACTCTACTATCTATCTACACTGCAGGGTTCAGTGGAAGTATTTGAACACAGGCTAGATGGCCACCTGTCGGGAGGGCTTGGATGGTGTCTTCCTTCCTGGCAAAAAGAGGGTGGACTAGATGGCCTTTAGGTTCCCCTTCCAATTCTACAATTCTGTGGAAGTATTAAACACAATCAGGATGGCCATCAGGGCTTGTCAGGCAAAAGTGGGTTGGACTAGATGGACTTTAGGGTCTCATCCAACTCTAGTCTTCTATGGATTCTAGTTGCATGGCAGATCAGGACCTGGTCCAGCTGGGATGTTAAATCTGACAAAAGTTTGGATCTTTGTTTCTAAACGACCAGGATTCCCTAGCGTTGAGCAATGGTAGTTAAAGTGATGCCAGGCTACGTATGTTCTACATCAGTGGTTCTCAACCTTCCTAATGCCGCGACCCCTTAGTACAGTTCCCCATGTTGTGGTGACCCCCAACCATAACGTTATTTTCATTGCTACTTCATAACTGTAATTTTGCTACTGCTATTAATCGTAATCTAAATATCTAATATGCAGGATGTATTTTCAGTCACTGGACCAAATTTGGCACAAATACCCAATACGCCCAAAATTTGAATACTGGTGGAGTTGGGGGTGATTGATTTTGTCATTTGGTAATGCTGGAGTTGCTGGGATTTATAGTTCACCTTAAATCAAAGAGCCTTCTGAACTCCATCAGTGATGGAATTGAATCAAACATGGCACACAGAATTCCCATGACCAAGAGAAAATACTGGGAAGGTCTGGTGGACATTGACCTTGAGTTTTTGGAGTTGTAGTTCACCTACATCCAGAGAACACTGTGGACTCAAGCAATGATGGATCTGGATCAAACTTGGCACAAATACTCAATATGCCCAAATGTGAACACTGGTAGAGTTTGGAGAAAATAGACCTTGCCATTTGGGAGTTGTAGTTGTTGGGATTTATAGTTCACCTACAATCAAAGAGCATTCCGAAACCCACCCACGATAGAATGGCCAAACTTCCCACACAGAAGCTCCATGACTAACAGAAAATACTATGTTTTCTGATGGTCTTTGGTGACCCCTCTGACACCCCCTCGAGACCCCCCCAGGGGTCCCGACCCCCAGGTTGAGAAACGCTGTTCTACATTGTGGATAGAGAGAGAGAGATGACCCCTCTTGCCTATGACTCTATTCTTCTTCTTCTTTCCGGGCAGCTGATGGTGAAGAACGAGGGCGACGTGGTCACCATGGAAGTGGATGGGGATGACCAGCTGGTCCTCCGCCACGTCTCCAGCTCTGTCATCGAGCACCCGGTCTCTTCCATGCGGATCGGTGTTGGGGGCCTCTTCATCCCAGCCCAGGAACTGCTGACCCCGGTGAATCTATTATTATTATTATTATTATTATTATTATTATTATTATTATTATTATTTGAAACATAACAAGATGAGTCCATAGCGGACAAGATCACTCTGCTTGCTGTTGTTTTGGATCGCATATCGGACCCTTCCCAAGTGTCTAGGACTGTGTGATGTATCGGCGAATAATGTGTGCAGATCCAGTAAGGTGGCCTTTTGCAGCTGGCAGATGGTAATTTTGTCAGTGCCAATTGTTTTTAAGTGCAGGCCAAGGTCTTGAGGCACTGCAAGGAAAGGAGAAAGAGAGAGGGAAGAAGAAAGGAAGGAAAGAGTGAAGGAAGGATAGGTTGGGGAGAGAGAGAGAGGAGGGCCTGAGAAAAGACCCCAAAGGGCTTGGGTTTGCCCATATCTGATCTACACTGTCAAATTAATGCAGTTTTGACACCACTTGAACTTCCCTGGATGAGTTGTAAAGAATCCTGAGCACTGTAGTCTGCACTTTCATAGCATCAAACCATAGCATCAAACCATAGCAGTCGATAGTCATGTCAAGTTGCATTGATTCTACAGTGTAGGCGCATCTATTGAGTAGCTTCAACTCATTCTCTTCTTTCCTATTATTATCATCATAATCATCATCATCATCATCATCATCATTAGAAACACAACAAGATGAGTCCACAGCAGACAAGATCACTCTGCTGGCTGTTGTATCGGATCATACATCGGACACTTCTCAAGTGTCTAGGACTGTGTGATGTATCGGCAAGTAATGTGTGCAGATCCAGTAAGGTGGCCTTTTACAGCTGGCAGATGGTAATTTTGTCAGCGCTGATTGTGTTTAAGTGCAGGCCAAGGTCTTTAGGCACTGCACCCAGTGTGCCAATCACCACTGGGACGACCTTCACTGGCTTGTGGCAGAGTATTTGCAGTTCGATCTTTAAATCCTCATATTGTGTCAGCTTTTCCAGTTGTTTCTTTTCAATCCTGCTGTCACTTGGGATTGCGACATTGACGATCCATACTTTGTTTTTTAACACAATTGTGAAGTCAGGAGTCTTGTGCTCCAAAACTCTGTCTGTCTGTCTGAATCCAGAAGTCCCAGAGTGGCTTGACGTGTTCATTCTCTGTAACTTTTGCCATCTTGTGATCCCACCAGTTCTTTGTCTCATGCAGATGGTATTTGTGGCACAAGTTCCAATGAATCCTCTGAGCAACGGTGTTGTGCCTCTGCTTGTAGTCTGTCTGTGCAATCTTCTTGCAGCAGCTGAAGACGGGATCTATTGTTTCATCTGCTTCTTTGCAGAGTCTACACTTGGGAGTCTGTGGTAGACTTTTCAATTCTGGCTCAGATGGCCTGGGTTCGAATGGCTTGTTCTTGGGCGGCCAGAATCAGGCCCTCCTTTGTCTCCTTTTTCAAAGTTCCATTTGTGAGCCACAGCCATGTTTTTTCTATGTCAATTTGGCTCTTAAGTTTTCCCAAGAAGTGTCCATGGAGAGCCTTCTTTCGCCAGTTTTCTCTTCTGCTCTGGATTGTGTTTTTACGGTATTCACTCTTTGTCTTTTGCACTATTTACTACTATTTACTACTATTGATTTCCCTCGATGTTGGTTCGTGACTGCCTCTAATATTATTATTATTATTATTATTATTATTATTATTTGAAACACAACAAGATGACTCCACAGCAGATAAGATCACTCTGCTGGCTATTGTATTCGATCACACATCGGACACTTTCCAAGTGTCTAGGACTGTGTGATGTATCGGCGAATAATGAGTGCAAATCCCAGTAAGGTGGGATTATTATTATTATTATTATTATTATTATTATTATTATTATTATTTATTATTATTAGAAACACAACAAGATGAGTCCACAGCAGACACTCTGCTGGCTGTTGTATTGGATCACATGTCGGACACTTCCCAAGTGTCTAGGACTGTGTGATGTATCAGTGAATAATGTGTGCAGATCCCAGTAAGATGGGATTATCATCATCATCATCATCATCATCATCATCATCATTTCTATTCCATCATCCAAGGAATCGAAGGGCAAGGAGTAGGAAGGCTTTTGTGCAGAGTAGAGTATCATTCCAATTTGCTGGCCATCTTGCTTCTTGTCATTCAATTACTTGACTTCAGACAGTTGTTTCTGCTTTGGTAGCGGCTCTTATTTTTATTTACATTTCATTCATTGCAATGACACCTACTTGTTAGCACAGAGAAAGAACAAAAAATGGTGTCTGCTCTATTTATGTTGTTTATTCGTTCAGTCGTCTCCGACTCTTTGTGACCTCATGGACCAGCCCACACCAGAGCTCCCTGTTGGCTGTCACCACCCCCAGCTCCTTCAAGGTCAATCCAGTCACTTCAAGGATGCCATCCATCCATCTTGCCCTTGGTCGGCCCCTCTTCCTTTTGCCTTCCACTTTCCCCAGCATAATTGTCTTCTCTAGGCTTTGCTGTCTCCTCATGATGTGGCCAAAGTACTTCAACTTTGTCTCTAGTATCCTTCCCTCCAATGAGCAGCCGGGCTTTATTTCCTGGAGGATGGACTGGTTGGATCTTCTCGCGGTCCAAGGCACTCTCAGGACTTTCCTCCAACACCACAGCTCAAAAGCATCGATCTTCCTTCGCTCAGCCTTCCCTAAGGTCCAGCTCTCACATCCGTAGGTGACTACAGGGAATACCATGGCTTTGACTAGGCGGATCTTTGTTGCCAGTGTGATGTCTCTACTCTTTACTATTTTATCGAGACTGGACATTGCTCTCCTCCCAAGAAGGAAGCGTCTCCTGATTTCCTGGCCACAGTCTGCATCTGCAGTCATCTTTGCACCTAGAAATACAAAAGCTCTATTTATACCCCACTGTTATCACCTCATTAATTCATTGTCCAGTCTCCGAGTCTATTGCAACACCTTCCTTGTCTGTTCCATAATGCTCCACAACTTCACTCTTTCACAGCTAGCAGCATGGACATTTTAAACTTGTGCAATATATACTGATATAGGGGAAGAAAGGGGAAGTGCCCAAATAATTCTAACTTTACCCTTCTTTATAGCTGAACACAGCCATGGATGGCTGCATGCGGCGCTGGAATTGGCTGAACAAGACCTCCGAATGGCGAGAAGGGAGCTCCTTGGAGGAAGAAGGGACCAAGGTTTGCTTCCCCAGCATCCGACCTGGAAGCTTCTTCCCCGGAAACGGGTTGGCCACCTTTTCTCTGGCAGGTAGGACCCGCGAGCCAAAGGAGAGGGATCAAAGCACGCATGGGCCAACTTGGTCCCTCCAGGTGTTTTGGACTTCAACTACCGGCTGTTAGGAATTGTGGGAGTTGAAGTCCAAAACACCTGGAGGGACCAAGTTGGCCCAGGCGTGATGCAAACCCTTTCTTTGCCTCTCTGCCTTCTTCTCCCCATTAGACCTCCCCACTGGACTCAATTCTGCAAATGGGAACTGGTCCCTGGCTCTGGAGATGCGGATTGAAGGGGCCCCGCAAGCGGCCTCCCTGTTGGCGGTCTCCAGTGCGAAACATGCCCCAGTTCTGCGCTTGGACCTGCGGCACACGGTGAGAGGCACGATGGTACTCTAAAGTCCATCATCACCCACAACACCAAACTCAGTTGGAATATGAGGAATACGCTTTGCATTTGTTTTGGTGCTGAGTTGATTATTCATATTAGCCTTTCTATGCTAGAGTTCCAAGACTAGACACTGCGCTGCTTCCAAGGCAGAGAGGTACAAGGCACTCTAAAGCCCAGCATCCACAGCAGCAAACTCTGGCTGAGAAAGGCGGTATACAAATGTAGTGAATAAATAATAAGTAAATAATTGGAAGACAGGAAGYATGGCTGTCTTATGCTCCAAGACTAGACWATGCKCCGCTTGCAGAGCACAGAGGCACAAGGCACTCCAAAGCCCAGCATCCACAGCAGCAAACTCTGGCTGAGAAAGGCAGTATACAAATGCAGTCAATAAATAATAAGTAAATKATWGGAAGACAGGAAGGATGGTTATCTCATGCTAGAGCTGCAAGACTGGACSATGTCCCACTTCCAGAGCACAAAGGCACAAGGCACTCTAAAGCCCAGCATTCACAGCAGCAAACTCTGCCCGAGAAAGGCGGTATACAAATGCAGTGAATAAATAATAAGTAAATAATTGGAAGACAGGAAGGAAATGCAGTGAATAAATAATAAGTAAATAATTGGAAGACAGGAAGGATGGTTATCTCATGCTAGAGCTCCAAGACTAGACAATGCACCGCTTCCAGAGCACAGAGGAACAAGGCACTCTAAAGCCCAGCATCCACAGCAGCAAACTTTGGCTGAGAAAAGRGGTAACAAATGCAGTAAATAAATAATAAGTAAATAATAGGAAGACAGGAAGGATGGCTGTCTTATGCTCGAAGACTAGACAATGCACCGCTTCCAGAGCACAGAGGTACAAGGCACTCTAAAGCCCAGCATCCACATCAGCAAACTCTGGCTGAGAAAGGCGGGATACAAATGCAGTCAATAAATAATAAGTAAATAATTGGAAGACAGGAAGGATGGCTGTCTTATGCATTATTTATTTACTGCATTTGTATACTGCATTTGTATACTGCCAAGACTAGACAATGCACTCATTCCAGGGCACAGAGGTACAAGGCACTCTAAAGCCCAGCATCCACAACAGCAAACTCAATTGGAATACAAGAAGTATAGCTGTCTTATCAATATTAGCCTTTCTAAGCGAGAGCTCCAAGAATAGACAATATTCTGTTTCCAGAGCACAGTCATACAGGGCACTCTAAAGCCTATCATCCACAACAGCAAACTCAGTTGGAATACAGGAAGGCTATCATGTCTAATAAATATTAGCTTTTCTGTGCTAGAGATCCAGGAATAGACAATGCACTTCTTCCACGCAGGGCACTCTAAAACCCAGCATCCCCAACACCAAACTCAGTTGGAATATGCTAAATATGCTTTGGATTTGTTTTGGTTCTGAGTTGCTTATCAGTACAAGTCTTTCTATGTTAGAGCTTCAAGATTAGACAATGCAGTGCTCCCAGACTACAGAGATACAAGCCACTCTAAAGCCCAGCATCCACAACAGCAAACTAAGTTGCAATACAAGAAGGATAGCTATATTATCAGTACTAGCCTTTATATTGTATAACTCCAAGAATAGACAATGCTTCCGGAGCACAGAGATCCAAGACACTCTAAAGTCCATCATCCACAACAGCAAACTCAGTTGGAATACAGGAAGGATCTCATGTCCTCTCATAGCCTTTCTGTGCTAGAGCTACAGGAATAGACAATGCACTTCTTCCACACAAGGCACTCTAAAGCCCAGTATCCACAACACCAAACTCAGTTGGAACATGCAGACTATGCTTTGCATTTGTTTTGGTGCTGAGTTGCTTATCAGTATTCCCTTTTCAATGCTAGAGCTCCAAGAATAGACAATACACTGCTTCCAGGGCACGCAAGGCACTCTAAAGCCCAGCATCCACAGCAGCAAACCCAATTGGAAGACAGGAAGGATGGCTATTTTATCAGTAGTCGCCTTTCTATGGGAGAGTTCCAAGTATAGGCAATGCACTCATTCCAGGGCACAGAGGCACAAGGCACTCTAAAGCCCATCATCCACAGCAGCAAACTAAGTTGCAATACAAGAAGGATAGCTATCTTATCAATATTAGCCTTTCTATGTGAGAGCTCCAAGAATAGACAATGCACTGCTTCCAGAGCACAGAGATACAAGCCACTCTAAAGCCCAGTGTCCACAGCAGTAAACACAGTTGGACTACAGGAAGGATAGTTGTCTTGTTTGTGGTCTCTCTTAGGATCTGGTGGCCCAGCTGGGGAACAAGACGGTCTTCATGGCCCCGCTTCCGGCTGAAGGCTGCTTGGACTTGTGGCTCCGGGTGCGAATCACGGCATCGCACTTCGCCCTGCGCCTGGCCAACGCAGAGACCCTGAAGCCCATCCCCAAGACGGACTTCGACCGCCTGAAGCAAATCTGGCTCGGCCAAAGGGGAGACCTCACCATCGGAGGATCACCCGGTAAGAGGCTTCCTCCAATTGTATGTTTACAAGGGAGCCGGCAAACTTTTGGAGAGCTGTGCAATGGGTTGCATGTAGTTATCTGGCTTTCTTAAATGACTCCGAAAGCCCTTCTACACTGCCATATAATCTTTAAGCCACAGAAATACATGTGACCCATTACACATATTTCCAGATGTGATTGGATTGCAATTCCCATCATTCACCACCATAATGGGCAATGTCCTTGCAGATGGCCAATTCTCTCACACCAGAAGTGACTTGCAGTTTCTCAAGTCGCTCCTGACACAACAACAACAAAAAAACTCCCAAAATCCCCAGCTAAGTAAAGGCTAGAGCTTAAAGCAGAATTGTAGATGGCCAACCTTTGGAGGAAGAGATTTAGTTGGAACTCATTGGTTATTAAGATTTCGTTGAGTCTCTGGGTGGATGAGAAAGTTTCCTTTTGGACTACAACTCCCAAAATTCCCCGCTAAGTAAAGGCTAGAGTATGAAGCAGAATTGCAAATGGCCATACCTTTGGAGGAAGAGGTTTAGTTGGAAATCATTGGTTATTAAGATTTCGTTGAGTCTCTGGGTGGATGAGAAAGTTTCCTTTTGGACTACAACTCCCAAAATTCCCCGCTAAGTAAAGGTTAGAATATGAAGCAGAATTGCAAATGGCCATACCTTTGGAGGAAGAAGCTTAGTTGGAACTCATTGCTTTCTAAGGTTTTATTGAATCTCTGGGTGGATGAGAAAGTTTCCTTTTGGACTACAACTCCCAAAACCCCAGCTAAGTAAAGGCTCAAGCTTGAAGCAGAATTGCAGATGGCCATACCTTTGGAGGAAGAAGCTTAGTTGGAACTCATTGCTTTCTAAGGTTTTGTTGAATCTCTGGGTGGATGAGAAAGTTTCCTTTTGGAGTACAACTCCCAAAATCCCCAGCTAAGTAAAGGCTCAAGCTTGAAGCAGAATTGTAGATGGCCAGACCTTTGGAGGAAGAAGCTTAGTTGCAACTCATTGATTGCTAAGGTTTTGTTGAGTCTCTGGGTGGATGGGAAAGTGTCCTTTTTGACTACAACTCCCAGAACCCCCTAGCTGGCTATTTGGGGATACTTGGTCCTGCAATCCCCACTAAATTCTGCTTTTACTTTATTGGCTGAGGATGATGGGAGTTACCATAGCTGGAGGGCCACGTGTGGTCTACTTCCTTTAATCCAGAGGTAATGATTGTGTAGCTCTTTAGATCTTTCTGGACTACAACTCCCAACATCCTTCACCATTAGCAAAAGCAGATGGGACTTGTAGACCAACCATATCCGAAGAGCAGGATTTGTCCTGCTTCTTCTATGCCAATGGTAAGAATCGTGAAGTTTCCCAGCTGTAAATGGACTACAACTCCCATCAGCCAAACAAGAAAATGTGCCCAAGCTTTGGTAGAAAATTAGTACCATTTCCAAATGAGTACAATTTCTCTTCCTTTTGCTTCCAGGGTTGGAAAGGGCCCCCTTGGCACAGGAGAGGGGCTTCTTCAGGGGCTGCCTGCAAGCAATCTGGGTTCAAGGCCAGGAGCTGGACTTAGACTCGGTCCAATCCAGGAGCAACTCCATTTGGGCTCATAGTTGCCCAGGTCCTGAAGACGGAGGCAAAGACACCATGGACAATGGAAACTAAAACATGTGCCCTTCAATGTATGCTTGGAAGAAAGATAGCAGAATGTTATCCAATCTTTACTTTGATTCGTTCAATATCCCGGACGAGCCCCCATACATGGAGCTTTTTTTCCCTACAATGCTAGATTTTGCAGATATATTTTTGAAGGTGTGCATGTGTGCCTTCCCGCTGCCTGTTGACTTATGGTCACCTTTTGAAAACCAGGAAGATAGCAGAACTTTATCCAATCTTTACTTTGATTCATTCAACGGCCGCCTTATTTCATATCCCGGACGAGCCCCCATACAGGGAGGTTGCTTTCCCTACAATGCTAGATTTTGCAGAGATATTTTTGAAGGTGTGCATGTGTGCCTTCCCGCTACCTAATGGCCACCTTTTGAATACCAGGAAGATAGCAGAACGTTATCCAATCTTTACTTTGATTCGTTCGACGCCTGCCTTATTTCATATCCCGGACGAGCCCCCATACAGGGAACTTGTTTTCCCTACAATGCTAGATTTTGCAGAGATATTTTTGAAGGTGTGCATGTGTGCCTTCCCACTAACTAATGGCCACCGTTTGAATACCAGGAAGATAGCAGAACGTTATCCAATCTTTACTTTGATTCGTTCGACGCCTGCCTTATTTCATATCCCGGACGAGCCCCCATACAGGGAACTTGTTTTCCCTACAATGCTAAATTTTGCAGAGATATTTTTGAAGGTGGGCATGTGTGCCTTCCGCTACCTAATGGCCACCTTTTGAATACCAGGAAGATAGCAGAACGTTATCCAATATTTACTTTGATTCGTTCAACACCTGCCTTATTTCATATCCCAGATGAGCCCCCATACAGGGAGGTTGTTTTCCCTACAATGCTAGAGTTTGCAGAGATATTTTTGAAGGTGTGCATGTGTGCCTTCCCGCTACCTGTTGACTTATGGTCACCTTTTGAATACCAGGTAGCAGAACGTTATCCAATCTTTACTTTGATTTGTTCAACGCCTGCCTTACTTCATATCCCAGACGAGCCCCCATACAGGGAGGTTGCTTTCCCTACAATGCTAGATTTTGCAGAGATATTTTTGAAGGTGTGCATGTGTGCCTTCCCGCTACCTAATGGCCACCTTTTGAATACCAGGAAGATAGCAGAACGTTATCCAATCTTTACTTTGATTCGTTCGACGCCTGCCTTATTTCATATCCCGGACGAGCCCCCATACAGGGAGGTTGTTTTCCCTACAATGCTAAATTTTGCAGAGATATTTTTGAAGGTGGGCATGTGTGCCTTCCGCTACCTAATGGCCACCTTTTGAATACCAGGAAGATAGCAGAACGTTATCCAATCTTTACTTTGATTTGTTCAACGCCTGCCTTATTTCATATCCTGGACGAGCCCCCATACAGGGAGGTTGCTTTCCCTACAATGCTAGATTTTGCAGAGATATTTTTGAAGGTGGGCATGTGTGCCTTCCCGTTACCTGTTGACTTATGGCCACCTTTTGAATACCAGGAAGATAGCAGAACGTTATCCAATATTTACTTTGATTAGTTCGACGCCTGCCTTATTTCATATCCCGGACGAGCCCCCATACAGGGAACTTGTTTTCCCTACAATGCTAGATTTTGCAGATATGTTTTTGAACGTGTGAATGTGTGCCTTCTCGCTACCTGTTGACTTATGGCCACCTTTGAATCCCATTTATTCCAATATTTTAATAATGTTAACCTATAGAATTCATGCACTGGAACTGCCATGGCTCAATGCTAAGGAATGCTGGGAGTTGTTGTTCAACAAGGTCTTGAGCCTTCTCTGCCAAAGAGGGCCAGAGCCTTGCCAAACTACAACTCTCATGATTCCACTGCACTCAGCCATGGCAGTTAAAGCAGTATCGAATTGCATTAATTTTATAGTGTAGACCAGGCATGGGCAAATTTGGGCCCTTTGGGTGTTTTGGACTGCAACTCCCACCATTCCTAACAGCCTCAGGCCCTTTCCTTTTCCCCCTCCGCCGCTTAAGCGGCGGAGGGGGAAAAGGAAGGGGCCTGAGGCTGTTAGGAATGGTGGAAGTTGAAGTCCAAAACACCAGAAGGGTCCAAATTTGCCCATGCCTGGTGTAGACATACCCAAGGATCCAGTGTACGCCCCATGCCAAAATGGGTGGCCATCCCTAGTCTCCTCACAACACAAGAATCCCAAAGCGATCATGAATATGATAATGTTTATTGTTACTGGATCAGAAACATTGGTCAACAACAAAGGGAAGTCCTAGCTTAGCCTTACCTCCTATTGACCCGGGTTGAACGCAATGCTGGTCCAGCCATCGACTCCAGAAAGTTGGGATTTGGTGCTACAGAGAGGTGGGTTTCCATCTCATTCCTCATCTAAGTATTATAAGAGAGATGGAATCCCATACAAACCGTCTCTGGTGGGAATGGGTTGATTTGCAAACTAGATTCCTAGATTCCCTTTTTAAATACAGATCAATCAGTCCACAAAAGTCATTGGTGGAGTAGTTGTCCCTGCTTTTCGAGGACTTGTTTTTGTACAGCTGCTCTTACAACTATTCTAAATTATATCCCGACACATAGTCTGCTCTTTTGGCAATATCTCAGATGATTCCAGGAGTTGTTTTCTCTTTCACAGTATTCAGTCTTACCTTTGAAAGCTTAGGAAACAAAAAGACGGGTTCCACTTTTCAACCAGATCCACTTTCTGACGATGCCTTGCTTCCTAACCCATCGAATAAACCTGTAAATAAAATACAGTGTGCCTTAGGAATTAAAATGAGGAGGTTCAGAAGCAATGGTTGGAATGCTGTTGGGGTCTTTCACAAGTCGAAGCTCCCTTATGGAAGAAATTCAGCATTTTTCTCTTATCGTCACAGGAGCAAAAAGGTCCCAGTTGCGCCGTTGCGCATGTTGACCGCTCATTCCCCACAATGGTGCATTCAGTTGTGGATTGTTGTTTGTCACAAGTGTTGTGTTGCACTGGTGTAGCTTTGCACGGAGGAGCATAAAACTCATCCAAAGTGTCTTTGTTGGGTTGTTGTAGGTTTTTTCAGGCTATATGGCCATGTTCTAGAGGCATTCTCTCCTGACGTTTCGCCTGCATCTATGGTAAGCATCCTCAGAGGTAGTGAGGTCTGTTGGAACTAGGAAAACGGGTTTATATTTCTGTGGAATGACCAGGGTGGGGTCAAGAATTCTTGTCTGCTGGAGCCAGGCATGAATGTTTCAACTGACCACCTACAACAACCCAGTGATTCCGGCCATGAAAACCTTCGACAATAGAATCATAGAGTCAAAGAGTTGGAAGAGACCGCATGGGCCATCCAGTCCGACCCTGTGCCAAGAAGCAGGAATATTGCATTCAAATCACCCCTGACAGATGGCCATCCAGCCTCTGTTTAAAGGTTTCCAAAGAAGGAGCCTCCACCACACTCTGGGGCAGAGAGTTCCACTGCTGAACGGCTCTCACAGTCAGGAAGTTCTTCCTTATGTTCAGATGGAGTCTCCTCTCTTGTAGTTTGAAGCCATTGTTCCTTGTCCTAATCTCCAGGAAAGCAGTAAACAAGCTTGCTCCCTCCTCCTCCCTGTGGCTTCCTCTCACATATTTATACATGGCTATCATATCTCCTCTCAGCCTTCTCTTCTTCAGGCTAAACATGCCCAGCTCCTTAAGCCGCTCCTATAGGGCTTGTTCTCCAGGCCCTTGAACATTTTAGTTGCCCTCCTATGGACACATTCCAGCTTGTCAATATCTCTCTTGAATTGTGGTGCCCAGAATTGGACACAATATTCCAGGTGTGGTCTAACCAAAGCGGAATAGAGCATGGGGAGCATGACTTCCCTGGATCTAGACACTATACTCCTATTGATGCAGGCCAAAATCCCATTGGCTTCTTTTGCCGCCACATCACATTGTTGGCTCATGTTTAACTTGTTCCCCACGAGGACTCCAAGATCTTTTTCACACGTACTGCTCTCGAGCCAGGCATTGTCCCCCATTGTCTTTGTTGGATCCGCATTGGGCACTAGCTTTTAATTCCTTGCAAGATGGTTTGCTTGAACCGATGGCTTCAATGCCTCATCCCCGAACTGGAGGTAGTAACCAGAATCTACATTAAGGGCCCAGTGTCCTTGTTGGATCCACATTGGGCACCAGCTTCTAATTCCTTTCTTGACAACTCGCAAGACAGTTTGCTCGAACTGATTGTTTCAACACCTCATCCCCGAACCGGAGGTAGATACAAGAATCTACATTAAGGGCCCTCTCTCTTGGATGTCCAAAGAGGCCATCTTTTTTAAATTGCAAACTAGGACCAATAACATTGTTTGGTTCTCTAAGAGGATGTAGAGCCTAGCGGTTAGAGAGGTAATCGGTCAAGCTCAAAATCTCCGCCTTTGACAAAAGGAAAATGGGATCCATCATCTCGTGGAGCTCTCTCAAGCTCCTTCCGAAGGTCCTCAGCGGGGAAAACAAACAGAAAAGGCTGGAGGCATCCCTTTGGAGAAACTACAATGTCCAAGCTCCCCCACAGTCGAGATGGGTTTGGAAACTACAACTCTTTACTACCTAGATCTGGAAGGAAAAATAAAAAGACTACCCTTTTGGTCCCTTTAGGAACCATATTGGCTGGGAGACTGCTAGTTTTAGTGCCATTTTGGAAGGGAGAAGAAAAGGGGCGACAGTTCTGTCCAAGAGCCCCCCAATTCAAATAAACAACATCTGGAAGGAGGGGAAAATGAAGGAAAATGAATACAGCTGCCTTTCTGTGTCCATTCACAGATTTTGCAACTTTTTCCCCACTGGTTCCATAAAGAAAGAGTCTACTCCTTGCCGATTGAGTTCAGATTCATGGGTCCTTCCTCTCGTTCTGGCAAGGAGCAATGTCTCCAAAGTCTATGCCATGCCCGCAAGAGGCTTGCAAAGAAACCCATCTCCTTCTTTTCAGAGCAGAAGGCAAGTCCCCGATTTGCTGGTGGCCGAGGAGACCGGGGCGTTGCGGTCCAGATCCTTCGGGGTGGTGCCTTTGGCGCCCCACACGTTCAGCTCCCCGAAGATGCCCATCTCGATCATCTCCTCCTGCCACGGGATGGGAATGTTCCCCGAGGAGAAGTCGTCGTAGAACGCCTTGTCCGTGTCGTCCAGCACCACGCCTTTCACCGTCGAGAAGGCACCCACGTCTCCGATGTCCTTGGCATAGACCACTTTGGGGTCCGGCACGAAAGGCGGCTCGACCAGACCTGAGTGAGAGAAGAAGAAACGGAAGTTGGGATGTTCATAAATGGCATAATTCTGAGCAGATCAAGCACCCTCTTGCCAACTCAATGGGAAAACACAATCAAAGTATGCATAAGGCATGGGCAAACTTGTTCCCTCCCTCCAGGTGTTTTGGACTTCAACTCCCACAATTCCTAACAGCCTACGGCTGTTAGGAATTGTGGGAGTTGAAGTCCAAAACACCTGGAGGCATTGAAAGGATTGGCATGCTGTCCTGACATCTATATATATATAAAATGGGAAAGGGCGTTCAACGGGACAGCAAAACGCGAAAACCCCCTGACACCTGGAGGGAGGGAACAAGTTTGCCCATGCCTGGTATATAGGGCAACGTTTGAATCTGCTCCTATCACATCATAAAATACAGATTTTTTTCCCCCTGTCTCCAAAGCAAAGTGTAAACAAGTTCAGGAGGATGGATGTGTTCGCACTTGTCTTCCCAAGCAGCCCTTATTAACTTTGGCAGGGAAATTATTTGGGATTTCATAAGGGCCCTTCGGCAAACATCAATGGTTTGCAATGCAAAAGGTTGTGGCAGCTGATCTCGTGCAAACTTCGCCTCGCCTTGTTTGCAAAAGCTCTGCCATGTTTCTTTTTTCTTTATTTATTCAGAGCTTGGGAACATAAGTGTCTGTGCAAACGCCATGACATTAAAGGAAATTAATTGGCCCTAAAAAGAATCGTGATGAAAACAATTGATCATTATTTAATGTATTTCTAGCATGGCGATTCTAGATTCTGATTTTGATGGTCACTTCCAATGTAGTCATTTAATTAATTGCTCAATGGTTTTTTGGTTTTTTTGTCGTGTCAGGAGCAAGTCGCTTCTGGTGTGAGAGAATTGGCCGTCTGCAAGGACGTTGCCCAGGGGACGCCTGGATGTATTGATGTTTTTATCATCCTTGTGGGAGGCTTCTCTCATGTCCCCGCAATTATATTAATTATATTAATTGCTCGATGGTGATTTGACGTTTGGAATAATCCTGCTGATGCGAAGGATCGCTAATTGGAACTGATAATAAAATTTGAGTCAATAAAAACAGCAGTAATCAATGAAAAATTGAAAGAAGCCACACCTTGAAAACTGCTAGGCCATTAAATGCTAACACTTCCTGGCAAAGGATTCCCCCAGGCAGGAAGCAGACAGGCTTAGATGCTGCAAGGCCATTCAGTGCTAATCAAGGTGGGGTGATTTGACATTTGGAATAATCTTGTTGATTCGATAGATCACTAATTGGAACTGATAATAAAATTTGGGTCAATAAGAACAGTGGTAATCAATGAAAAATGGAAAGAAGCCAAACCTTGAAAATTGCTAGGCATTAAATGCTAACACTTCCCAACAAAGGATCCCCCAGGCAGGAAGCAGACAGGCTTAGATGCTGCAAGGCCATTCAGTGCTAATCAAGGTGTGGTGATTGCAACTTTGCAATAGCCTCAAGCAGACAAGAGTTCTTTCTCCCATCCTGGATATTATTCCATAGCTATATAAATCCCATTTTCCTAGCTTCCAACAGACCCCTCAACCTCTGAGGATGCTTGCCATAGATGTGGATGAAACATCAGAAGAGAATGCTTCGGGAACATGGCCATATAGCCCGAAAAACGTACAACAACCCAGTGATTCCGGCCATGAAAGCCTTCGACAATAGATTGAAATCATTGATGAAATACTGGATTTCTAAACAGAATTATTCCTATGTGCTTTGGACTATAGATCTGGGTTCAATTCCCACTTTGAGTTTCACTTGTGAGAAGAAAGAGCAATAGAATACTCATACTAATAATAATAATAATAATAATAATAATAATAATAATAATAGTATGTTGCAATCCCAGGTGACAGCAGGATTGAAGAGAAACAACTGGAAAAACTGACACGATATGAGGATAAAGCTCCTGCAAAGACTCTGGCACAAGCCAGTCAAGGTGGTCCCAGTGGTGATCGGCACACTGGGTGCAGTGCCCCAAGACCTTGGCCTGCACTTAAACACAATCGGTGCTGCCAAAATTACCATCTGCCAGCTGCAGAAGGCCACCTTACTGGGATCTGCATGCATTATTCGCCGATACATCACACGATCCTAGACACTTGGGAAGAATCCGACGTGTGATCCAATACAACAGCCAGCAGAGTGATCTTGTCTGCTGTGGACTCATCTTGTTGTGTTTCAAATAATAATAATAATAATAATAATAATAATAATAATAATAATAATAATAGATGAGAAGCAACTGGAAAAGCTGACACAATTTGATAATTTAAATGTCAAATGATAAAGACTCTGGCACAAGACAGAAAAGGTGGTCCCAGTGGTGATCGGTACACTGGGAGCAGTGCCTGAAGACCTTGGCCTGCACTTAATAAACACAATCGGTGCTGACAAAATTACCATCTGTCTGCTGCAAAAGGCCACCTTACTTGGATTCATTGTGGATTCATCACACCATTTGATGGCCTGACAGTTTTTAGGTGTGCAGGCCATCAAATGGTAATCAAGGTGGCCAACTGAGACAATCACACCTAGCTCCAACAGACAAGAGTTCTTTCTCCCACCCTGGACATTATTCCACTGATATATAAACCCAATTTTCCTAGTTTCCAACAGACCTCACAACCTCTGAGGATGCCTGCCATAGATGTAGGCAAAACTTCAGGAGAGAATGCTTCTAGAACATGGCCATACAGCCTAAAAAACCTACAACAACCTTGTATATAACTGTTTACCACACCACATCTTATTTTATGCTTGTAGTTTTGGTTAGAAGCCCAGAAGCATCAATTCTTGGCCAATAATGCCATGAAACGCCTCTGTCCTTTCTCTTCACTTCCAGCGAGTCTTTAATCTGGAACTTTGGTTACTAATTTTGGTTAGCGTACTGCTCGCCAGGCAGTTCCCTCAAATCAGTGGTCATGGTACTGAAATTAGGATATTTCTTACAATTGGAGAAATACAGTATTAATATTATTATTATTATTATTATTATTATTATATACACATTATTCCTTTATGTAAACATCTCTGAAAATTGAGTATATTTTAGAATCACAAGGGTTGCTGAACTGAAATTAGGGTGCACCTTACAATCGACACCAGAATGGGCCAACTTGGGCCCTCCAGGTGTTTTGGACTTCAACTCCCACAATTCCTAACAGCCTACCGGCTGTTAGGAATTGTGAGAGTTGAAGTCCAAAACACCTGGAGGGCCCAAGTTGGCCCGTGCCTGGAAAAGGTGGTGGGGAAGCTGCATAGGCCGCCTCTCCTGGTTGTCGTTACCTGCCTCTAGCCGTCCCCAGTTGATGGGCTTGAAGAGCGCATGGTTCTTTAGTTCGCTGCAGTCGTTGTTCTTGAAGCCCAGCCGGTTGGCCGGGTCTTTGGCCATCAGGGCATCCAGGCAGGCTTTGCAGGCCGCGCTGAACTTGTCATCGGGATACGTCACCGGGTCATTCAGGATCCGGCGGGTCACCTCCTTGTTCTCTACCTGCAGAAGCGGATACAGATATAATCCTGGGACTTGTAGCACATTTGGGCAGAGAAGGCCAAAGATTCCTAGGATTGCGCATTGATCTGCGCAGTGTGTCATAGAATCATAGAATTATAGAGTTGGAAGAGACCTCGTGGGCCATCCAGTCCAACCCCGTTCTGCCAGGGAAATCACATTCAAAACACCTCCGACAGATGGCCATCCAGCCTCTTGTTTCAAAGCCTCCAAAGAAGGAGCCTCCATCACATTTTGGGGCAGAGAGTTCCACTGTAGTCCAACAACATATGGAAGTGTATTGTTGAAGGTTTTCATGGCCAGAATCACTGGGTTGTTGTAGGTTTTTTCGGGCTGTATGGCCATGGTCTAGAGGCATTCTCTCCTGACATTTCGCCTGCATCTATGGCAAGCATCCTCAGAGGTAGTGAGGACCTCACTACCTCTGAGGATGCTTACCATAGATGCAGGCTAAACGTCAGGAGAGAATGCCTCTAGACCATGGCCATATAGCCTGAAGAAACCTACAACAACCCAATATATGGAAGTATACAGCATTCCTATCCCTAAATGCCTAAATGTTGGAGATACTCAATCAGTGAAGTACAGCTGACCGTGTCGTAAGGTCAGGGAATTATAGAGCTTGAAGTCCCCTAAAGGTTATTCAGTCCAACCCCCTTCTGCCAGACAGAAATAATAACAACAACAACAACAACAACACTTTATTTATATTCCGCCCTTCTCACCCCGAAGGGGACTCAGGGCGGATCACAGTACACATACATGGTAATGTAAGACTGTAGGTTATATATAGCAATATTAAATGATCACTCACAAGCCGGTTTTGCTTGGAAATGAATATATTGCTTGTATCTCTGCAGCAAAGAAAGACACTACTGACTTTTTCCCACCACCACTTCCTTTTATACACCTTTCCTGCCCATCTCCCCCCTCTTCTCAATTTCTTTATTAGAGTTTGTTGCTTCACAAGTTCTAATACAAGGGTTCCAGCGTATTCTGCTGGCTTCAAAATGTCACAGAGAGAAAAGGTAGCCAGGATGATTCAGTCAGGATGTCACGGAGGGAATTTGTGATGTCTTCATGCCGTCAAAAATTGACTCCTGACAGGTAAACATTCAATGCCACTTTGTATAGACAATACACAGACAGACAGAACAGAAGGAGGTGCCATGGAAGGTTGGGCTCGAGTCCAGGGGGTGCTGTTGTTCTATTCTCTATGACAAAGAGCCATCAGGACTTTCTCCTTCCTTTTGGTCGCCCAGAATTTTCTGATCTTTTTTCTTTATGGCGTCGTAAAACACCTCCTCCGCTTTTAGCGGTACCTAATTTCTCTAATTGCAGCTAAAGCTGTTTTCAAATTGTTTAGGTAAACAATGAGCTAGGCTGACAGTTGGCAGCTCACACCAACCCAGGGCTTCAAACTTGCAACTTTTTGGTTGATAGATCTTATAATTGCTGATGATTTACCAGATGTGCTAAACATCCAGCCCAATCCACGCCCTCCTGGCAGATGGCCAGCCAGCTTCTGCTTAAAAACTTCCAGAGAAAGGGACTCCAAGGCCGTCCATTCCACTGTCTAACAGCTCTTACTCTCAGGAAGTTTTTCATAACGTTTTGGGGGAAACTTCTTTTGTGGCATCTCCAAATCTGTGGCTCCATTGCATCCTAGTTTCACCCAGCTAATTATTTGCCTTCCGGCTAACACAAAAGTCTGCATTTGGCCACCCACATTTGTATTTTGGAGCAGTTCTGGATTGAAACCCAACACTTCAGGTTTTGAGACAACTATTGCCAAACTCTGCTTTGGATAGCTCCAGGTTTGGATGCAGTTTTGGATAGCCCCAGGTTTGGAAACGGCTTTGGATAGCCCCAGGTTTGGATACGGCTTTGGATAGCCCCAGGTTTGGGTTAAAACAATGTTTGTTTGTTTTTTGTCGACTGCCATTGGCCATGCTGGCAGCTTGGGAGTTCTGGGACCTGCAATCCCTCCGAGAGAAGGCATTACCTTCTCGCCTCGGCTGCGGAAAGGTCCCTTGGCGGCGATCATCTCGAAGATGGTGACTCCGAGGGTGAAGTAGTCCACGCTGGAGTCGTATTCCACTCCTTTGAGCAGCTCCGGAGCCATGAATCCTATTGTGATGGAGAAAAAGAGAAAAGTGAAACAGTAAGTCACAACTGGGGGGGGGGGGGGGGGGAGATGCTTTTTGAAGAGAATACAAATCCCAGAATCCACTAATCAGACAGCCACTGGGGTTAGTACAACTGTATTGAAAAGTGGAGGGAGGCTCGTTTTCATTGATCTATTTAGATCAGCCATGGGCAAACTTCGGCCCTCCTCCAGGTGTTTTGGACTAACTCCCACCATTCCTAACATATATGTTGGAATGACTTAAAAGCACACAATGATTGTTATCGAACACCGCTACCTCCACCCCTAATAAAAAGGGATTTATAGTTAGGAATTTAAAGTTTTCCAAGCCAGAATCAGATAAGTGCTGTCCTATCTTTTGCATAAAGACTCCCAGACCACTCCACCTTTAGACCTTTGCTTCTTTCCTCTCTCCTCCCAACCATATTTATTACACTTTATTCCTATACATCTATTAAATGGGTTCTATTTTATTTCTGAGATAGGAAGCATTGGCCAAATAAAGAATGTTGACATGGCCAATGTCCCCTTTGTTTCTGAACCACAGACAGGGCTATTAAAGAGTGTGGCACAATAGCTGGATAATTTGCTTCTTGCCTCTACATCCCGCTTTGGAGTCCAAAATCATCCGGGGAGGCCCTGCTCTCGATCCTGCCTCCATTGTAAACGTGCTTGGCAGGGATGAGAGACAGGGGCCTTCTCGGTGGTGGCCCCCCACCTGTGAAACACACTCCCCAATGAAATTAGGTCAACTGCAACCCTCCTTTCCTTCAGGAAGAAGCTCAAAACCTAGTTTTGGGACCAGGCATTCGGGTAGCAGGGTAACAACACTCACAATGTCTTTGAGAATGGACTATGGACAGGTTTTGGACTGGGTCATTGGTCGCCAATTTGGATTTAGATATGGCTATTTAGCTTGCTGTTGACCTTTGCAGCCCAAAAGACACTTGCATCTGTCAAGTAGGAAATTTAGATACCGCTTATGCAAGGAAGCTAATTTACGATGCCAAAAAAAATCTCCAGCAAGCATGCAAAGAATGAGGAAGTACTCCATCAGTGTCACAAATGGACGATGAAGTGACAGCTCCCCTGGTGGCCAGAATACCCTCATGAAAAAGATGGAATGTTAAATTGCCTTTGTGTGTCTGTCTATATATGTTGTGTGTCTATTGCACTGAATATTTGCCATGTATATGTACATTGTAATCTGCCCTGAGTCCCCTGCGGGGTGAGAAGGGGAAGCTAATTTATGACACCATAAAAATCTCCAACAAGCATGCAAAGAATGAGGAAGTACTCCATCAGTGTCACAAATGGACAATGAAGCAACAGCTCCCCTGGTGGTCAGAATACCCTCATGAAAAAGCTGGAATGTTAAATTGCCTCTGTGTGTCTGTCTATATATGTTGTGTGTCTATGGCATTGAATGTTTGCCATGTTATGCAGGGAGGCTAATTTATGATGCCATAAAAATCTCCAGCAAGCATGCAAAGAATGAGGAAGTACTCATCAGTGTCACAAATGGGGTGAAGCGACAGCTCCCCTGGTGGTCAGAATACCCTCATGAAAAAGCTGGAATGTTAAATAGGTGTGTCTGTCTATATATGTTGTGTGTCTATGGCATTGAATGTTTGCCAGGTATATGTACATTGTAATCCGCCCTGAGTCCCCTGCGGGGTGAGAAGGGGAAGCTAATTTACGGCACCATAAAAATCTCCAGAAAGCATGCAAAGAATGAGGAAGTACTCCATCAGTGTTACAAATGGACGGTGAAGCGACAGCTCCCCTGGTGGTCAGAACACCCTCATGAAAAAGCTGGAATGTTAAATTGCCTGTGTATCTGTCTATATATGTTGTGTGTCTATTGCATTGAATGTTTGCCATGTATTCGTACATTGTAATCTGCCCTGAGTCCCCTGCGGGGTGAGAAGGCGGAATATAAATACTGTAAATAATAAATAATCATAATATCATGATAAAGGATGCTAGGAGTTGCGGTCCGGCTGCACCAACATATCCTCCAAACCGTTGGTATTTGGTGACCCAGATTAATACTCTGCTTTTCCAGCCGTCTTTAAAATGCCCCGGATTCTCTCTCTTCCTTTGCTTCCTCCCTTTGTCCCCAGTTGTTTCAGGGCTCTCAAGCCCTCCCCAAAAGCCCACCTGGTGTCCCAGCGTAGCCTGTGGTCTTGTCTTTCCCGTCAGGGAGCTCCACCGCCAAGCCCAGATCCGAAAGCCGGACATGCCCTGGGAAAGAAAAGCATAATGCATACATTGCAGAAAGAAAAGAGAATGAATTAAACTAGAGATCGGATAATCCATCTAGCACAAGCAAGGGCCAACTTGGGCCCTCCAGGTGTTTTGGACTCCAACTCCCACAATTCCTAACAGCCGGTAGGCTGTTAGGAATTGTGGGAGTTGAAGTCCAAAACACCTGGAGGGCCCAAGTTGGCCCAAGCCTGATTTAATGCTTGCAAATGTGGAGGGCAAGGCAGGATTCCTGAGTTCGTTGGCATTTGGGTTTATTTTTAGCCAGCCTTGATACCGGATTAGCTCCCTGGGCGGTGACTCATGCCTCCAGCACCGCTCTGCCTTTGCAAAGACATCCAGAAGCCTCGAGCAAGAATACCTTGTCATATTCAGTCAAGAAACCTACTTTAGGAAATGAGGCTGATTTGCATTTTCTGGTCCAAATCGGAGCTCGGAATCGGCTTTTTGGGCGTTCACGAACTCAAGGACAAACTACACATCCCTGTATCCCATAGCAGGGAGACGTGGCTGTTCAAGCAGTGTCGAACTGAATTAATTCTATAGTTTAGAATAGATGCACCATTTATTTTATGTGATCTTCAGATTTTGGGAAAGGAAAAGATCATTAGGGTTTTGGAAGTGCAGCTCCCAGAATCCCAGTTTGGCCATTGGGAGATACAGTAAATATTGTTGTGCCATTTAAGATTTCAATTGTTTAGTCTTGCAAATAAGTGGCACACTGAAGAGATGCCTACCTCACTGTTTATCCTTTTTGGGCTCCACTCAATTACATATATTCTGGGTTGTTGTAGGTTTTTTCAGGCTATATGGCCATGTTCTAGAGGCATTTTCTCCTGACATTTCACCTGCATCTATGGCAAGCATCCTTCACTACCTCTGAGGATGCTTGCCATAGATGCAGGTGAAACGTCAGGAGAGAATGCCTCTAGAACATGGCCATATAGCCCGAAAAAACCTACAACAACCCAGTGATTCCGGCCATGAAAGCCTTCGACAATACATATTTTCTATTCCTACCTCATCCAGAGTTTTATCATTTTACCTCGTCCATTCAGCCTGCCCATTTTGTTCAATTTTATATTGTGTTAACTGGCTTTATTTATTTTTCTGTATGTATTTTATTATGATGTAATTTTTGTTGTCTGCATTCTGTATTTTATATTTCTGTATTGTACCTTGGCCTCATGTTAGCTGCACCGAGTCAAGCTATGGGGAGAGGCGGGTAAGAAATAAAATTATTATTATTATTATTTGAAACACAACAAGATGAGTCCACAGCAGACACTCTGCTGGCTGTTGAATTGGATCACACGTCAGACACTTCCCAAGTGTCTAGGACTGTGTGATGTATCGGCGAATAATGCGTGCAGATCCCAGTAAGGTGGCCTTCTGCAGCTGGCAGATGGTAATTTGTCAGCACCGATTGTGTTTAAGTGCAGGCCAAGGTCTTGAGGCACTGCGCCGTTCACTACTGGGACCACCTTGACTGGCTTGTGCCAGAGTCTTTGCAGTTCGATTTTTAAATCCTCATATCGTGTCAGCTTTTCCAGTTGTTTCTCTGCAATCCTGCTGTCACCTGAGATTGCGACATCAACGATCCATACTTTGTTTTTTTAACACGATTGTGAGGTCAGGAGTATTGTGCTCCAAAACTCTGTCTGAATCCAGAAGTCCCAGAGGAGTTTGGCGTGTTCATTCTCTGTAACTTTTTCCGGCTTGTGATCCCACCAGTTCTTTGTCGCAGGCAGATGGTGTTTGTGGCACAAGTTCCAATGAATCATCTGAGCAACAGTGTTGTGCCTCTGCTTGGAGTCTGTCTGCGCAATCTTCTTGTAGCAGCTCAGAATGTGATCTATTATTATTATTATTGAAATTGGATTACACTATGTAACACATTTTTTAAAAAAAAAAACATTCCTGGTTCGAAAGTGTTATTTCCTGCTTAATTGTGTGGTAAATACTTTGGAAGTAGTTTTTCTGCTCCAGAAACTTTGTTTTTGTGGCTTTGAATTGGTTGGGACTCAATGATGAGACTCATTGAAATACTAGAGCAAAACATGCTATAGCAGGATGTCCCATCAAACCAAAGTTTTTGCACTTTCATAAACTTTCCCCATATTTCCATGATAGAACCAATTAGGAAATGAGATTTATAACCCAGGAACAAAAATCATAGTGTTACATAGTGTTACTTTCCTAATCCGAGGCTGTTTTCAGCTTCATTTCCAAATGTCAAGGAAAGTGAAACACCTGAACTTTGCTAGATGACGACGACAACATCATCAATAATAACAACAACAACATAAGAAGAACAAGAACAAGAAGAACAAGAAGAATCCAGCATATATATCTTGTTTGCTGTGGCATACTGTGTTTTTGTGTCAATAATAATAATAATAATAATAATAATAATAGTAATAGTAATAATAATAATAATAATAATAATAATAATAATAATAATAATCACGCAAAATAACTGCGGGAATTTCGAATCCAGATTGACAAAGTTTAGGAACATAATACACCAGACACCATGATTGTGGAAAAGGAAAAGGTTTGGATTACTGATGTTACCATACCAGGTGACAGTCGCATTGAGGAAAAACAACAGGAAAAACTCAACCTTTATCAGGACCTCAAAATCCAACTGCAAAGGCTCTGATTGCATAAACCAGTACAGGTTTATGGCGCACTGTCATTGGCGCTCTGGGTGCCATGCCAAAAGATCTCAGCCGGCATTTGGAAACAATAAACATTGACAAAATCACGATCTGTCAACTGCAAAAGGCCACCTGACTTGGATCTGCGCGCATCATTCGAAAACACATCACACAGTCCTAGACGCTTGGGAAGTGTTCGACTTGTGATTTTGTGATACACAATCCAGCATATAGATCTCATTTGCTGTGACATACTGTGCTTTTGTGTCAGTAAAATAATAATAATAATAATAATAATAATAATAATAATACTTGTGTGGTTTTCTGGCATTGTATATTTTTGCTGCTTTTGTGACTGTTCATTTGTATTTTGATTCTGTAGCCCACTTGTCAATGGATGTCCAGAATCAGTAGCATCCACCGCAGTCCTTTTTATCCTGGGCGTCAACCGAGCCAGTATAGACTTCGTTTTGGTTTGTTTCTCCATAGTGCTAATGGGTTAGGTGCTCTTAGTTCCACACTTCAGCTGAGACATCTCTGGCTTGGTTGGATCTGCTAGTAGTTACACTACCATCAGCCCAGCTCTCAGCATCCTTGGAGCAGTTAAGTCCCCCACCATGACAAGATGGCATCCTCAGCTGCCACAAGAAAATCGCACAGACGGACTACAAACAGAGGCACAACTCTGTGGCCCAAATAATTCATTGGAACTTATGTCACAAGTACCACCTTCCAGTGGTAAAGAACTAGTGGGATCATAAACCTGCATAATGAGTGGAAAATGAACACACAAAAATACTGTGGGGCTTTCGAATCCAGACTGACAAAGTTTTGGAACACAATACACCAAAGAAAAAAGGTTGGATTATTGATGTCGCCATATCAGGTGACAGTCGCATTGAGGAAAACAACAGGAAAAACTCAAGCCGTTATCAGGACCTCAAAATCGAATGGCAAAGGCATAAACCAGTACAGGTGGTCCCAGTGGTCATTGGCACACTGGGTGCCATGCCAAAAGATTTCAGCCAGCATTTGGAAACAATAAAAACTGACAAACACACAACCTGTCAACTGCAAAAGGCCACCTGACTTGGATCTGCATGCATCATTCGAAAATACATCACATAGTCCTTAAACGCTTGGGAAATGTTCGAGTTGTGATTTTGTGATGTTAAATCGGCATATAGATCTCATTTGCTGTGACATATTGTGTTTTTGTGTCAATAACAACAACAACAACAACAACAATCATAATAATCGATTTTGGGGCTGGGGATGTATACACTACATCTTCAGGAAGCCCAATCTTCTATGTTTTGGGGTCAAATCTATTGGATTACAACTCCCAGAATCCACCAATGACTTGAATGGAGGATGCTGGGCTCTGTAGTCCATCTGTCATCCCCCCCCCAAAAGGACCACCTTTTTTTTTTTACCTGCGTCATCCAGGAGGACATTTTCTGGCTTCAGATCCCGATAGATGATGCGGTTTTGATGCAGATGTTCTAAGCCGCAAATAATTTGAGCCGTGTAGAAAACGGTCCGGGATTCGGAAAGCCCTGGGTTCTTCTCGTCCACGTTATAGACGTGGTATCTGTGAACGGACAAGGGAAATCCAAGCGATTGAACGCAAATCATTGTGCAAATTCACAAGCGGATTCCTGTCCACACTTCTCAAGTTTTAACCCTAAAAAATAACCTTTCAAAAACCCCCAATTTTGGTTCAAGGTGAATGACCAAGTAGAAACTCATTAAAACTCTCTGCCAACATCTTCAATTCAAAGGATCAGGAAACAGATCGAGAGGCATTGGGAAAAATGAGTATTGTTGGCTGCTTTGGGTCTCCTTTCAGAGAGAAAAAGATTCTTGTAAATAAATAAAACAGTAATATGAATAACATTAATAACAAAGTTAATATTATCAATATTGATAATGTTAACATAGTAAAGCCCAGCTGCTGCTATTATTATTATTATTATTATTATTATTATTATTATTATTATTATTATATGCCTTTTTCTCTCTTCTTTCTGTGGTTTTTGACTTTGAATTCTGAGTGTTCTCAGAAATCAGAGGAATTCTAGACATGAAACAATCAGGGCCAGCTAACACTTCCCAACAAAGGATTCCCCCAGGTAGGAAGCAGCCAGGCTTAGATGCTGCAAGGCCATTCAGTGCTAATCAAGGTGGCCAACTGCAACATTCACACTAGGCTCAAGCAGACAAGAGTCCTTCCTCCCACCCTGGACGTCATTCCACAGATACATAAACCCCTCTAGCCTAGTTTCCAACAGACCTCACAACCTCTGAGGATGTCTGCTATAGATGTGGGTGAAACGTCAGGAGAGAATGCTTCTGGAATATGGCTATACTGCCCGGAAAACTCACCCCAGCCCAGTGATTCGACAGTATTTGACAACACGTTTAAAGGATTTCCTTGCAAAGCAGCAAAAATGCATAACATTGTTCTTTCTTGTCTGTGAGAGCATAGAACAAATGCCATGGCTCAGTGCTGTAGAGGCATGGGATTTGTAGTCTGCACTCTTTGGCAGAGGGTGGGAGACCCTGTGAAACTACAAGTCCAGGGATTCCATAGCCTTGAGCCTTGGCAGTTGATAGGGGATCAAACTGCCTTTGTTTCGCAGTGTGGATGCCTCTCTCGGTGGTCCTCACCTGAGGTCTCCTCCATTCATGAGCGTCATGACGAGACAGAGGTCTAGCTTGGTCTGGAAAGCGTAGGCCAAGGTGACGATGAAGCGGCTGTGGACTTTGGCCAGGATCCGCTTCTCGACAATCGCTCCCTGTGATGCAATGCAAAAAAAAAAAGGGGGGGGAGATGTGGCTTAGTGTTGTGGCTCAGCAAGCAGCAGAGGATTTTTCTGATGTTTTAGTGGATGAGGGAATTTATGAGTTTCAGAATGAAGAGTCTGCTAGTGATCAGAGAGAATTGCAGGCTGAGGAGGCTAATGTTTGGGATTCCTGTGCTCATTCCCAATCAAACAGAAAGAGAAGGTTTCATTTCCCTTGTGAAACAGCCTTTGGCCAATGGGGAGTTTTCCTGAGAAGCCAGATTAGGTTTGAGAACGGAGGGAGCGAAGAATAGACTAATTAGACCAGGGGTCCTCAAACTTTTTAAACCGGGGGCCAGTTTACTGTCCCTCAGACCGTTGGAGGGCTGGACTATAGTTTTTTTTAAAAAAAAATAAAAAATTCCTATGCACATTGCACATATCTTATTTTGCTGTGTGGAAGGGCCCTTAGAGGGGGTTCTTTCTAGCCCTCTTTAGGCAGTAATTCCAGGAGCAGAGAATGGGAAATCTTCCTATTTCTAATCTGAACAAAATCTGGCTACCAGTATTTAAAAAACTCTAAAATTATAACTGTAAATAAAGAACAACACTCAAACACAGGGGAACTCCAGACAAGAAACAATTAGGGCCAGCTAATCACCTCTCAACAAAGGATTCTCCCTAAAAACTGTCAGGCTATGAAATGGTAATCAATGGCCAATTGAAACATTCATACCTACCTCCAACAGACAAGAGTTCTTTCTCCCACCCTGGATCTTCCACAATTTTCCTAGTTAAAGGTTTTCCTCTGACATGAAGTCCAGTCGTGTCTGACTCTGGGTGTGGTGCTCATCTGCATTTCTAAGTCGAAGAGCCGGCGTTGTCCGTAGACACCTCCAAGGTCATGTGGCCGGCATGACTGCATGGAGCGCCGGGGCAGCCTCCCTTGGCTGGCTCATGCTGTCCATCGGGCCTGACGGATAGCGTGAGCCTGCCAAGGGAGGAGCAGCCCCGTGCAGCCTACTTGCGAGTAAAGCACCTCGCAAGGTGCTTTACGCACGAGTAGGCCATGTGGAGCAGCTGCCCTTGGCTGGCTCACGCTGCCCATCGGGCCTGACGGATAGCATGAGCCAGCCAAGGGAGGGGCACTGTGTGTGTGGGGGGGCGCTCCTCCTCCGAGGGCCGGATAAGGGCCCTTGGCAGGCTGGAAGTCGCCCACGGGCCATAGTTTGGGGACCCCTGAATTAGACGTTCTGAGGGAATCTGTAAGAAGACCTTGAAACCCACATGCATTCAGTATGATCTCATGGCTACTTGGTCGGGCTTAAATTAAGTGGTGTTGGTTTTACACCTCTCAGAGGAGACAACGTTGCCATAAGGATGACTTTCCTGTCTTGGCTCTCAAGTTCATGATTCAAGTTACCTGTTTGTGCCTTTGTTCCTTGAAGGGATTGCCTTGGAAAGAGTTTCTGTTTCCATGTTTATGGATTTATGTTTGAAAGCCTGCTGTGGATTTTGGCTCTCTTGACTTTATGTACCTGGACATTTCTGAATTGCGACTATTTTGTATTTTATACACCACTGCTTCTTTGGGAAAAGCCTTCCCCCCCTTTGTATGTGCTTTCTTTAATAAACTTTTATAGATAGTACTACTGGACTGACGTGAGGCTGTGTGAAAAGGTGTTTCAGGTCTCCAGCTTGGGAGTTTCCTAGATTTATCATTGAGGCTGGAAGCCCAGGTCTTGGTGGTGGCCAGGGGAGCTTTTGCACAATTAAAACTTGTGCACCAGTTGTGCCCGTATCTTGGGAAGTCTAACTTGGTCACAGTGGTCCATGTGCTTGTTACATCAAGGATAGACTACTGCAACATGCTCTACGTGGGGTTGCATTTGTAGACTGTTCAGAAGCTTCAAGTGGTCCAATGGGTGGCAGCCAGATGTCTAACTGGGGCAGTGTACAGCAAGCATACAACTCAATGTATTGTCAAAGGCTTTCAAGGCCRGAATCACTGTRTTGTTGTAGGTTTTTTCGGACTATATGGCCATGTTCTAGAGGCATTCTCTCCTGACATAGATGCAGGCGAAACGTCAGGAGAGAATGCCTCTAGACCATGGCCATATAGCCCRAAAAAACCTACAACAACCCAAGCATACAACTCCTTTGTTAYGCCAGCTCCACTGGCTGCCAGTCTGCTACYRAGCACAATTCAAAGTGCTGGCTTTAGCCTATAAAGCCCTAAATKGTTCCGGTCCAGGTTACCTGTCCAAATGTATCTCCTTCTATGATCCACCTAGGAGATTAAGATCTTCTGGGRAGGMCCTCRCCTTCCCCAGAAGCGCAACTGGTGGGGATGARAGACAGGGCCTTCCCAGTGGTGGCCCCTCAGCTATGGAACTCCCTCCCTAGTGAAATTAGAGCAGCCCCTCCCTCCAGACATTCAGGAAGAAAGTAAAAACATGGTTATGTGACCAAGCTTTCTGACAGCAAAGCTCGTAGTGCAATAAGATAATAACGAATAGTAAATGGACCAATAGAATGACTACAAACTTGATTTTGGATGGCGTGATTTTAATAACTGTTTTTAAATCATGTTGTTTATTGGTGGGTTTTAATATAAATGTTATTGTATTATCAATGTTTAATTTTTATGCTGTGTGTCTAAATGGTATTTTATGTTTATGTTTTAATTTGGTTAGGTTAATTTATAGCGGTACCTTGCTGTTATCTTTTGGTTTTCACAAGTATGTACGGCATTGAATTTTGCCTTTATAATGTAGGGAACATCTTTGAGTTCCCTTAGGGGGAGAAAAGAGGTATAGGTAAAGCTAAAGATTTTCCCGACATTAAGTCCAGTCGTGTCCGACTCTGGGGGGTTGGTGCTCATCTCCATTTCTAAGCCAAAGAGCTGACATTATCCGTAGACACCTCCAAGGTCATGTGGCCGGCATGACTGCATGGAGCACCATTACCTTCCCGCCTGAGCGGTATCTATTGATCTACTCACTCTTGCATGTTTTCAAACTGCTAGGTTGGCAGAAGCTAGGGCTGACAGCAGAAGCTCACACCGCTCCCTGGATTCAAACCTCGACCTTTCAGTCAACAAATTTAGCAGCTCAGCGGTTTAACCCATTGCGCCACTGGGGGCTCAGAAAAGCGGTATATAAATTTAGTAAACAGATAAATAATAAATAAGAGTGCAACATTTATAGTTCTCCTAGTCCTCCATGAGTGAATCTACACTAGGCATGACCTACCAGCTGTTAGGAATTGTGTGAGCTGAAGTCCAAAACACTTGGAGGGCCCAAATTTGCCCATGTCCAGTCTACATGGTGTCAACTGCAAATATGGCAGGAGGGTGGACTAGATGACCTTAGGGGACTCAGATAGTTCTGTGATCAAGGCCTCATCGACACTGCCCATGTAATACAGTTTGAAAGCGCATTATATCATGAGTGTAGATTCATATAATGCAGTTCAATGATGTTAACTTGCACTATACTACTATGACCATATAATGCCATATCAAAAGGTATGATATGGTAGTGTAGATGGGGTCTAGGTTATTCGAAAACAGGATCCAACTCAACATTATGAAGAGGCTGAGCTGCACAATGGACCTTTGTGGAAAGATACCTTCTTCAGTGTGTTTCAACCTTTTGCCGATATATATATATATATATATATATATATATATATAGTATTTCATTTTTATGTATATACTAGCTGTCCCCTGCCACGCATTGCTGTCGCCCACATGGGGGTTCTGTGTGGGAGGTTTGACCCAATTCTATCGTTGTTGGGGTTCAGAATGCTCTGGGTTTGTAGGTGAACTATAAATCCTAGCAACTACAGCTCCCAAATGTCAAGATTCTATTTTCCCCAAACTGCACCAATGTTCACATTTGGGAATATTGAGTATTCATGTAGAGTTTGATCGAGATCCATCATTGTTTGAATCTACAGTGATCTCTGGATGTAGGTGAACTACAACTCCAAATCCAAAGGACACTGCCCACCAAACCCTTTCTGTTGGTCATGGGAGAATTGTGTGCCAAGTTTGGTTCAATTCCATTGTTAGTGGGGTTCAGAATGCTCTTTGATTGTAGGTGAACTATAAATCCCAACAACTACAACTCCCAAATGACAAAATCAATTTTTTTGAGTGAAGGACATACATTGGGTTGTTAGGTGTCTTGTGCCCAAATTTGGTGTCAATTCGTCCAGTGGTTTTTGGGTTCTCTTAATCCCACAAACGAACATTACATTTTTATTTATATAGATTTTAAATGCAAGCTTTAGGGAGAGGAGAATAACAAAATGTGTTTGCAGTAATTGTTGTTGTTGTTGTTGTTGTTGTTGTTATTATTATTATTATTATTATTATTATTATTATTATTATTATGGAGCCCCCAGTGACACAGTGGGTTGAACTCCTGAGCTGCTGAACTTGCTGACTGAAAGTTCACAGGTTCAAATCCGGGGAGCGGGGTGAGCTCCCACTGTTAGCCCCAGCTTCTGCTAACCTAGCAGTTCAAAAACATGCAAATGTGAGTAGATCAATAGATACTGCTCTGACGGGAAGGTAATGGCGCTCCGTGTAGTCATGCTGGCCACATGACCTTGGAGGCATCTACGGAAAACGCCCAGAACACCAACCCCCAGCATCGGACACGACTGGACTTAATGTCAGGGGAAAACCTTTACCTTTACCTGTTATTATTATTATTGGATGTCTACCTATCAGGGATGTTCTATTTACCAATTATTGTTTGCAGGTTGGATTGGATAACCTCTAGGTTCCCTCTCCATTCTGTGATGACAGGGTTATTGTAGTCATTGCAGTGGTCTGGATTGTGATGACAATCCTAATGGTTCCTTTAATCTGAGATTTATTCACGCTATTATTTAGAGGTACAAACATATCTGGGCCTCGATTCAAGGTTTGTCAGTGCTATTATTCTTTAATGAGACCCAATGCAATTACTATACTCTATCATGGACTGCTCCTACCC